CCTTCACAGATAGAACCAGCCATATCACATACAGATGTTTATACTGCCTCTCTTCCCGGAGAGGTGTTTTGGTTGACAGAAAAAAATCCATAAAGAAGCTGCCTGCCTCTCTCTCGGTCGTCCTGGGTATAACGATAAACTACATTCGGCGTTCTGGGTATAACGATGAACTTCTTCCAACAGCAAGGCCTCTGATCAGGAGGTTTTGAGGAGTGTGGAACCACCTCTTAATTGCTGGTGTTCCCAGGTCCAACCTGACCCGAGGTGGTAGCATCTGTTAGGGTCCCAGCTGTGGGAAAATAGTTAACCCCCAAACTGGAGTCAAAACACTATGAAAGTGTAAAAATAGGTTTTAATACAAGCAGTGCCTTCTCTTTCTTTCTTTCACTTTTATTTCCTGCATTACTATATATTTCTTTATTCCTTCTGTTTTCGTTCGTTTATTCTCTCTTTCTGTACATCGATCATTCCGTCTCTTCTTTTATCCTTATCATTCCTTCATAACTGGTCTTCTTTTTCTCATTTTCATTCATTCTTTCTTTATTGTTTTTCCCCCCTTGTTTCATCATCTTATCCTGATTCTTTCTTTCTTAAATTTTCCTTCTTTATTTCTCTCTTTCAGCGTTTCTTTTACTTTCTGTATTTGCTTCTTTTTGTACTTTTCTTTCTTTGCTCTCTTTATTTTCACCCTTAATAATATAGAATATTAAAACTGTTCCACAAATAGAGCTCAATGTATTTATTACAGAGCATATATATACATTAATACAGAGCATATATATACATTATTACAGAGCATATATATACATTACAAATAAATGAAATTAAAAAATAACCCATTCAAAAAAAAAAATAATAAATTTATTTTAACTAACTTTTTAATGCTGACAAGCTACTGCGGAGCGAAATGGCCTTTCATATTGGGGTATTTTTGGATTTCATTTATTCTTTATATATATATATATATATATATATATATATATATATATACAGTGTGTGTGTGTGTGTGTGTGTGTGTGTGTGTCTAAATAAATTTCGGGTGCACTTCGGCTGACCACACCTAAAAGTTTTATGTGATTTCACGCAATCCTCATGGAGTCGGCTTTCATTTTTTTTCTTTTTAGGGACACCAACGAAAGAGAGCTCATTGCCATATTAAATTCCAGGCCTTGAATATTTCTAACTAAATACACTAGAAAAGTGTCCAAAGCGTGCCAAAAACGTGCTCGATAGCACAAGGAATAGTCGAGATTTATTAAAGGAGCATAATACCAAAAGCAAAATAGTGCTCAACAATACCGAGCCCAAAATGTCCCCATAACAGTGCATGTAATTTCACTAAACTATAAAGTATGTAACTCTTGAGGGAGCTTTCTATGTGGATAGACAGAAGAAAGAGAACCATGCCATATTAAATGTCAGAGACTTAATATTGTTAAACAAATTTCCGGTGAACAGTGGCCGACGACAATTAAAAGTTCCATGAGTTTTCGCGTAATTATCAGGTAGTTCTATTCTTTCATAGAGTCGATTCAACCGGTTTCAGAAACATTTTGAAACAGTTTACCATTTCTTCCTTCTTCGCCGCCTTCTCCTTTCAGTCCCTATATATTCTTTGCAGTTGAGCATAAAATATCAATAAATAACAGAAGCGAAACAAGATGGAGGCGGGAAGAAGAAAAATGGTAGTCAATAGAAAAGGCGGCAAGGAAAAATGGATATGACAAAAAGAAAAAAAAACGAATGATAAAAAAGAGAAGAAATGAAGGAAGGATTAGAATGAGAAAAGAAAAAGAAAGAAAGGCAATGAAAGAGAGAATGATCGTAGTTTAAAACAAGAATATAAAGAGAAAAAGTAAAGACGACAAAGAACAAGAAATGAAACGAAAGAAAGGGAAAATGAAGAAAGAAAAAATTGGAAAATAAATAAAGCTTGAAAGAAAGAAAGCTTGAAAAAAGCAGAAACAAAAGAAAGAAAGAAAGAAAGAAAGAAAGTGAAAAGAAAGAAAGGGAAATGAAGGAAAGGAGAAAGAAAGAAATGGAAAAGAAAGAAAGAAATGGGAAAGAAAGAAAGAAAGAAAGTGAAAAGAAAGAAAGAAAGAGAAATGAAGGAAAGGAAAAAGAAATAAATGGTAAAGAAAGAAATAAATGAAAAGGAAAGAAAGAAAGAAAGAAAGAAAGTGAAGAGAAAGAAAGAAAGGGAAATAAAGGAAAGGAAAAAGAAAGAAATGGAAAAGAAAGAAAGAAATTTAAAAGAAAGAAAGAAAGAAAGAAAGGGAAATGAAGGAAAGGAAAAGGAAAGAAATGGAAAAGAAAGAAAGAAATGGAAAAGAAAGAAAGAAAGAAATGGAAAATAAGGAAAGGAAAAAGAAAGAAATGGAAAAGAAAGAAAGAAGGAAAGGGAAAATAAATAAATAAATAAAGAAAGAAAGAAAGAAAGAAAGAAGGAAATGAAAAAGAAAGAAAGGAAAAAGAAAGAAAGGAAAAGAAAAATGATCATAGTTTTAAAACAAAGAGACATCAAAAAATAAAAAGTGAAGAATAAAGACGACGACGAGTAAGAAAATAAAATTATAGGAAAATGAAGAAAGAAAGAATTGAAAAACGAAGAAAGAGAGCAAGAAAGAAAGAGAGAAAGAAGTATTTAGAAAGAAAAAAAGAAAGAAAGACAGAAAGAAAGGGAAAATGAAGAAAGAAAACAAGAATCATTGTAGTTTTAAAACAAATAGACGTCAAAAAATAAAAACACATAGAAATAAACACGATGGTAAGAAAAGAGAAAACGAGAAAATGAAGAAAGAAAGAAAGAAAGAAAGCATGAGAGAAAAAAAGAAAGATTAAAAGAAAAAGAAAGATGATGAGTAAGAAAGAAACAAAAAAGAAAGATGATGAGAACGAAAGAAAGAAAGAAAGAATATGAAAAGAGTTGTGATAAGAGAAACATTTGATAACAAAATCAAGATACGCTTTTTTGAAAGACGAAATAAATGCGAAAGTCAGTAATTTAAATAAAAATGTAGAAAGCAAAATCTAAAATTAATTTCTATCAAATAGTAATATTGAAAAAAAAAGATGGACGGTGAAGAGTAAGTAAATGCAACAGGAAAAATAAGTAAATAGAAAAAAGTCTGAAAGAAAAAAATACGTACACATACACCAAATGACAAAAAAATGTCCACCGAAAAAAAAAAAAAAAAAAAATACATTTTTATCACTTATGAAAAAAAAATCGAATTTTTCAAATTATAATTCATTTTTGATTGACATTTTTTACGACCCCATATTTTTTCTTTTTTTTAATTCTGGCGATAGCTGTCCTGAATATTGATTAATGACGAATAAAAGCAAGACGCGAGTAACGTGTCCAGTTGAGAACGTGTGAAAGATGTCTGCACCTGTATATGTAGGGAAAATAAATACAGTACAGGGAAAAAAATACAATAAAATATATATTGCAATAAATATACATTAAAAATTTGAATTATATATATATATATATATATATATATACAGTTATCGACTATATATATATATATATATATATATATATATATATATATATAGTCGATAACTGTAATAAAAAGGCACACGAAATAATGAAAAAAAGAAAGGAGAAATATTAAAATAAAACAGAAATATTGTTTGATGAGTATAGAAGTTTAAAAAAAAAACAAAGATAGGGAGAAAAGCCTGAGAACTCACAATATCCGACATTCTGTCGTGACTAGCACCTGACACAAAGCCAATACACACAAAAATATTATCTTCTAAGGCCTCTACGAAGCATGTAATTTACACCCTTTGGCAGCCAGAGACGGTTTTAAAACCCGTTTGTATTCGCTCATGCAGCAAAGAGAAGGAGGAAGAGAAAGTGTGGAGGTTTGATGAAATGCACAGGCGTCAAGAGAAGGCCATAGATAGACGCTTGTTTTAAAACGTCCTTTATGCAGGTTTCTTAAATGATGAAATGGCAAAGAAAGAAAAACACTTTTGTTACGCGTTTCGGCCATCGTAAGGACCGCTTCAGGCTAAATATTTATTTTCGCGATGAACCTGTAATTCTCTGTACACACCATGTTATCGTAGCCTCAATGAAAAATTGGAAATTATTAGATTTAAGAACAGGATTAATCTTTTAAACCAAAGGAATGAATTACTGTTAACCGTAGACATAGTTCACTCATACCCTTGATTTGGTTTGGTTTGTTTTGTCAGACATGACACAAAACCGAATTTAATATGGAGGTATCCTAACCCGTAGGCTCGGCCAAAAATTCCCCGTAGATCCCGTATAAAACGGGGTGAGGTAGCTATTTCCCGGGACGAGACTCTGCTCTTCGACATAGCCCAGTCTGGGGATCCTCTCTGGCCGGAGGCAGAGAGTTTGACATGCATAGCTGGAGACGAATCTCCAACTGCAGACCAACATACAGTATTTACTATTGTATTTATGTAAATGGAGATATAAACATTATCGTCAGTAGGTATGCTACAGCACATTTGTACATATATTTGTGCATGTATGTCTGTGTGTTGGAATGTATATGTGTTTATGCATGTATGTATGTATATATGTATCTGTGTGTATGTGTGTGTGTATGTATATATATATATATATATATATATATCGAAAGAAATGTCTAAAATCCGGGGACGCTTTAAACTCCTGGCGTACAAGATGCACAATCTAACCGGCCTAGATCAGCTTTTTACTGCTTTCGTCTCTCTTGTTTTTACACTTTTGTTTTTTTTTTCCTTTAATATCCGACACTGTAATAGTTTTATTAGAAAAGTTGAAATACTGTGTGAACCTGGCGTAAATTTATCTCCGTAAGACTCATAAATTAATCCACTTTCTATACATTTTCGCCTCAATAAACTACTTACGCTTTTAATTAAAAATTAATATTATTTTTATATGTTTGGATTGAAAATATCTACAGCCTTCATGGTAATAACTGAAATTATGTGATTGCTTATCGATATTAACTTCTGGATTATACAGAGAAATACCCTCATCTTTGTTGTATTTATTTTAGATAAATAATTTATCTAAAGCAAGGCAGTAATAATGAAATATACAGAAAGGATCGGAATCAAAATTAATAGCTTGCGAGTGGCGGTTGCTAATCGTCGCCATTTTTACAACCTTTCCAGACACTTGAAAAAGCTTAACTTCTTCCTAAATTTAAATAATGTTACGGATACGTTTGCCTCCCGAAAGTATGTACATAAACAGAAGATACATGTGTCTGAGGAACAGCTAGCTAATAATGTTTACTAATGTAGATTTGAATATCTTTTGATCGATGTAGCTACTGCGGACAATAACTCCTCGATTATTCGGACACTTTGGGACAGAAGTTGATAAAATATTTTAGGATAATTCAAAATAACCTTTTCAAACGCTTTGTTCGTAAGTTTTATTCAGTTTATTTTTGACGGGAAATTGCGTCAATTTTTTTCTGTTTAAGATTGGCCTGAAAGGTTGTCATAGCCGGGGGTGACGATAAGGGAGAAGCTCCCAGTGTCTATAAAATGATTCCGCAGCATGCGTCTCAAATAGCCTCTGAAAAACTAAGTTCAGCCCCAAGTGGGAAAATAGACAAAGGCGGCCAACTGGCGCGTCATAACCAGCTGAGTCGGGTAGATGGAGCTAGTCAGCCTAGGAAGTCAGTCCATCTAGAGGAAGGAAAACCGTGATTTTAAACCTCAGCTGCCTTGCGGTCATAACCAAACGCAAAAAAAGGCTATGGAAGTAAATCCAGATAGAAATCACGAAGTGGGACACCGAATGTAGGTGGATGTCAACCCCGACAGGTTTCCGGCAACTACTGTAGCCAAATGTCATGATCTGTATTTCTTTGGATCTTTTCGAGAGTGAGAGCGCAAATCCCCCAAGTAATATCACCCAGACGCGGTCATTCCAGTTTCACCCCTCATAGAACTGAAATTTTACCAAAAAGGGCGCTACCTTTATCTCAAGAGATAAACGGATGCCTACGAATAGCCTGGCTATTTTTTTCTGTTAATAACTCTCGAATCTGGATTATGGTAGTTGCATTTGTAAATGTGGTTTCTGAGAGTTGCGTAAGCCAAAATCCCTGGCATGACTAAGCTGTATTAATTTAAATGCATATTCTTTCTATTAACCTACCCACACAAAAAAAAAAAAAAAAAAAAAAAAAAAAGAATACGATGAAATAAGATCAATTGAAATGATTTTATCAGCGTTTTTATCAAACTTTGAATATGATTTTCTAAATTCTCAAAACGATACTCTGATATGAAATATTAGAATGGGTTTATTTCACGTAACTGGAAAATATTCAAATGATTTCACTTCGTTTCCCATTCAGATAATGGACGTCCGGAAAATCGAGGTACACACAATCGAAGTACGGATAATCGAGGATGTACTGTATTTCGGTCAGTGCAGTGACTCGGACCACTTTAAACGATACAATATTGAGAATGTAAAAAAATGGTCAAAACGAAGAATCCTAGTCTTTGAATTTGAAGAAAAAATAAGGAGATTTTAAATTATTACCGATAATGCAAAGACTTAGCGAATCGCCATTGAAAGAAGAACAAATAGTTAAAAAAAAGAAGAAGAAAGAAATGAGTGATAGTATCTGGCAAAAGGTCATGATTAAAGAGTATTTATTGAAGAACTATATGCAGCTTCAGAGATAAGAAGCAGCGTCTAATACAAAGACATTTTAAAGATGTTTTCAAAGAAACATTAGGTATGGGATGCCAGGCAAAATACAAGCTTATTTTAATGGCGTTTACCAGCGAAGTCTGTGTTAATGCCATGATGTAGTATAAAAGATCAGGAAATTGAACATAGAATAGCTTACAACAGCAGTAGTTTCACACAAAACCACAAGTTGCTACAAAACCAAAATATGAACTATGAAATAGCATCAACAGTTCAAAACTTTTCAATGGATATCATGCATCAAGTCAAACTAGTTCAGAAATATCTAAACTCTCAGCTGTATGCAAATGATTTCTCAGTTCAATGAATAAAACTGGCTGAGGGTGAATGAAGCCTGTATGTCTTGCCGAGGTACATTTTCAATCCTTGTGGACTGGCGCTATTGAATCTTAACCAAAGAACCGTATCAAATAAAAAAGAAACACATCAGTTGAGGAATTTCAATAGCCGCAACAACGACAATTGGTAGCTACAAGGGGCGCGGGAAGACGAATAGGAAAAGGGTCGCTGCTGAATTTGGTGGGACATAGAAAATAAGACATTCTCTTCCTAGAGACCCGGATGTTTTAGCCTTGGTAAAGCGGCAGGGTGGTTTTAAATTTACCCCACACAAAATTCTTTATTATAAATTTACACATATCCCTGCAGGTAGACACAAGTTCTTGTCCCTGATCCAAAATTCTGTCATTAGCCATGCCTTCCCAAAACCGCTAGCTTCTCGCTCAGTCAAAGGTTACATTTATTACCTTTACCGGCGAACACGCGTTCCTTAGTTA